CACACCCAAGCTTCAAAAGGAATCTAAGATCTTTAAGTCACAGGACTGTCAGAAATTGTTAGGAAACCACAAAGATCATGTCACCAAACTCTAGGCCTCTGTGCTGTGCTCCTCACTTTCTCCAGCTGTCCTTATATGACCCAACAGCCCTCATTCAATCCCTCTTGGTGCTGGTCATGTCATTCAATGCTGCTTCTTCAAAAACACACAGACTTCCCGAAGAACAGTAAAGTTGGAGACTCAGAGCAACTTGGGTTCCAATCCGAGTTTCCAAGCTCTTTAGTTATGGGAACTTGGAGCCATTGATCTAACGCTGAGTTGGAGTTTCCTCTAAGAGGAGACAATTCCTTCTTTCTTGATTGCGTTGTAAGAACTAAATGAGAATGTATGGAAAACACTTAACCAGGACCTGGCCCATAAAAGGGGCTGAAATCAAAGTTGTGTCTCTTTTCTTTCCTACAATACATTCAAACCCAAGGTGACAACCACAATTTCCAACAGAAAATAGGTCAAACACAAAGCTGACCTAGTCTTTGAGATAAATATAATTCTTCTACCTATCAAAAACTTCCCAGAAATAGTAGTTTGACTTTCACTGTCCAGTTATAGATTATTCTAACAGTAAGAATTTCAAGCCAAATACTGGGGGATAAATTTACTGATATGAGCTGGTGAGGGTGATATTTGGGGGCACATAAGAGATTCCATGTCCTTTAAAATGACACCATAGCTACGCATAATCTCAGTTTGTGTAAATATTGGGAGTGAGCAAACCTTTAGACATGGAATGACAAGCAGCTTCGTTCTATTATCTTGGTGATTGGCAAACAGAAAGAAAGAAAGTACAAGAGAAGACCCATGTTCAATGTTATCTACTGCACATAATTTCCCATTTTAAAATTAAAGGAATATTGAAAAATGCACAACTAAAAATTATGTGTACCTTATCATAAATAGTCTTAATCAGATAACTTTGCTTCTTAATGCTCCAAAGCTGAAGGATTGAAAGTTTTGATTCAGTATAAGGAGTTAACCATAGGAATGTGATTAGACTTCAGCAGGACATTGAGTTTGGACAGGTAAACCAAAAAAGAAAAGTCTAGGTATCTGAAGGAACTGAAAAGCAAAAGAAATAGAGAAGCCAGAAGTAACAAATTTGCAAAATCATCTAGAGTTGACTGTCACTTCATAGGGTCACCAAAAATCAACCTCCATACTTGACCTTCAAGAAAATGTCACCATTTATAATGGTAGGATGCCATCAGGGAGAATCCAATGAGGTTGGGCACCCAGGGCATTTCTATACACATGAGACATGTAAGATGTGTTGAGTGCTGAGTAAACTAAGGCTGAATACTGGCTGAGAGCAGAATGTCACTTCAAGACCCTTTGTGACTCGAAAGGGTTTTCTTCATGTTAATATTTTATAAGCATCTTCATTATTCAGTTGCTCAAGCCACTCAATTGCTGGTCACTATTGTTAGTATGCATTTCCTGTAACTACTGAAAAATCCAGTCATAAAACGCATGTTTCCAGAGCGCTCCTGCTGTAGTGGTGTGTCTGGATGCAGATAGTTTTTAACACCTACCCATTTTTTTAAACCTGTTGATTTACCTTTATGACATTACTGTTACTTTTGTATTAACAGCAGAAAATTCAAGCCAGAAACTATCTGACAAAGAAAGGCTCTTCCAGCTAAGCTGTCTTATCTCTCACCCTATGACTTTATTCATTTCCCTACACTTTCCACCCCCCCACCCTCGACAACATTATCACTATGACTCCCAGCATACTCAAACCACAAAGCAATTCCTCTGTTCCCCACATGAACCTCATTTCATCACAAACTCCCTTTATCTTCAGACTTTCTTTGGAATCCTCCCTCGACCTTGTAATCTTGATTAACCATCAGTCTACTTGGAGAACACTACTTCCTTTCTCCACGGATGAGATTTAGTGTAAATCACAGAACCAGAGGCATTCTTCAGGTCTTTATTATGACTTTTTTTTTCAGAGATGGCATCTCACTTTGTCCCCCAGGCTGGAGTACAGTGGCACGATCAAAACTCGCTGCAGCCTCGAAACCCCAGGATCAAGCAATCCTCCTGCCGCAGACTCCCAAGTTATTTCTACTTTTAGATAACTGTTCATCTATACTCATTAAAAAAAAAAATCCTTCAAATTGGGATAACTAAGGGTATAGTTCATTCTATCCAATATACCCTTCCAGCATCTTCCAAGTACCTCTTCTATAGTATTCTTTATGTGCTTAAGTATCTGGTTTATAGTTTTAATCTTCAACCTATCCCTGTCCACACTCTTTGTGAGTTAAAAGCCCATGTGGCAACCTACTCAGTTCCTTAGCTTTGACCTCCTCGGAGTCAATAATCCCTTGCTTCACTCTGTTCTAATCATGCTCACCCCTGACACACTCTGACATTGTGAACACCTGTAACTATATCCCACTGCAATGACAACACTCTGTCCTTGTTTTTTTAAGTGTGATTACAACTTTTCACACATTTCTTTCTTTCAGTCTACTGGTCTCTTCACCTCATTTTATGGCCTCTTATCCACTTCACTTCCTTTCCTAGACCCACGGACCTCCTGTCAGGTACTTACAAGAGCTCTTAACCAACACTTTATATGACCCAGAAATTCAGAGCCTTGGATCAATTTATAATCTGTCTTTTCTGTCCCTCTATCTAAGCAGATGCATATTATCAGAGATGGGCTGGGGTAGGAAGAGTCTAAGTCTAAGAGTCTAAGATTATATATATATATCACCAAAGACTGTTTTTTGAAATTAGCTGGGACTTTCCAACTTTTTTTTTAAAGGCAGGGTCTCGCTCTGTTGTCCAGGCTGGTGTACAATCATAACTCACTGAAGCCTCAAACTCCTGAACTCAAGAGATCCCATCTCAGCCTCCTGAGTAGCTAGGCCTACTAGCTAATTTTTTTTATTTTTTGTAAAGACAGGGTCTCACTACATTGTCCAGGTTGGTCTTGAACTTGTGGCCTCAAGCTATCCTCCTGCTTTAACCTCCCAAAGTATTGGGGTTATAGGTGTGAACCACTGTGCCCAGCCCCAATTTATCTTGTCAACTCCTTTCTCTTTTTCTGATGACTTCTTTAAAAGTTTGCTGACCTTAAGCCCCCTAGCCAACTTCCAATCATTTTACACTTTGTGGATGATACTTTTCACAAAAACAGGCATGAACCTTTCACAATCTCTTATCCCCTTCATCTCATCAAAAAACAAACCTGTATTGTTTCTCCCCTGCACCCCAGCATGCATCATAAATCTTCTCATCCAAAAAAATGCCCCATCACCAACCCACAGCAGCTTAAGTTACATTCACCTTCCCACTAACACACCACCAAACGACACAGCAGAAGTCACCAACAACCCCTAGCTGTCAAACACAACTAGATTGGATACTTAGTTTTCTTTTCCTTGTCTGTTCCACGTGACATTTCTAGGCATATCTTTCTCATATTTCCATCCCTTAGGTCCAAGTGACCACTTTTTCTTAGTTGTCCTGGCTCGTTCCCCTTGTTCTTTCCACCACCTAAACTTAGGGTCCCTGAAGTCCTCAGGCCTCTTCCTCTTCCCCACTTTTCTCTGAAAGTGATCTTGTACACTCTCACTGTTGTAACTACTACATCCAAAGCCCTGTATTATGGAAGCTTTGTCTTGCCTGGACCCTTCCATGAAGTTCAGAGACTGTTATCCAGATGACTGATAGAGAGGGCCACATAAATGTGACAAAGTCACTGTAAACTCAGCAGATGAGAGAGCTGAACTCACCCATCCTGTTCCTCTCAGATTTCCTGTAGGATGTGGTGACCCTATCACCCATTCCTGCCTTCCCCTTCCTTCCTTTCATCTTTGACTTCTCTCACCAGGTGCCATTAAGTTGACCTTCTTAATATTGTATCCTTATAATCACCTCTCTCTTTTGCTTAGTCAAAGATGGTACCGCCTTCCTTTATGTTGCTGTGATAGCCTTTCTACCACACTCCTGGCTCCTGTTTCACCTCTTCTCAAATACATATTCCAAAAACTTTTAAAAATTATCCCCCCCCCACTGTTGCCCAAGTGGTCTTTCTAAACTGCAAGTCTGATCACATCACTTTAGACAATAAAACCCTTCATGGGCCCCTCATTACCAAAAGCTGATGTTTCAATCCCTCACCACAGCACTCAAAACCCTGGACGACCAACTCCAGGCTACTGACACAGCCCACCTGATTTCTCAACCACATTTGATCTTATACTTTATTCTCCACATCATCACTCCTCTACCACGTGTATCATCTGACTGGTGGAATACTCACATTGTACTATCCGTCTATTTATTTATTTATTTTAGAAACATGGTCTTGCTATGTCACCTAGGACAGAGTATAATGGCTATTCATAGACAACAGACATGATCATAGCTCAGTGCAGCCTCCAACTCCTGGCCCGAAGTGATCCTCCTCCCTCAGCCTCCTGAGTAGCTGGACCTATAGGAGCACACCACCATATTTTGTATAAATGTCCATCTCTCCTACTAGATTGTGTACTCCTTGAAGACAGAAACCATGTCTTACTTACATCTGTACCCTAACCACCTGGAACCCACCAGAAATTTAATAAACGCTGGCTGATGGATAGACCTTGAAGTATCTTGAAAACAAACAAATCTCCTGAACTATTTTTGGCATTGTATAATTAAAAATATCTTTCTAGGAAGACTTTCATTGTCATCACAATTTCTCAGCCTCTAAAGGTATGCTTCCCAACTGCTAGAACATCTCTCTCTCCCTCCCAATTGAACAAAGAAGGAGCCAGGGAGGATTAGAAAGTTAAGATTGACTGAATGATGAGCAGAAAAATAGTTCTAATCAGTGTGAGAGCATCTTTTAAGTCTCCATCAGTTACACTAGACTTGACTGACTGAGTAAAGCACACGTTCGCCAACACACCCCGGAGCTCAGACAGCGCACGTACCTTCCACGCAGCGACAACCCTCTTGCAGCACCCGGGCATACATATCCACTTTGGACTGAGAAAGGAGCTGGTCCCCAGTCAGGTAGGTGTTGTGAGAGGAAGCAATGTAGTAGTTGCAGAGAGGCTGATCCATGTCTTGGTACACTTCATGGTGCATTGGGTTAAATATGTCACAAGCAGGACTGCGCATGAAGTTCGTGAAGCCTTTGGAAAGAAGAGAGAGTGACACATGTGGCTTTCAAAGCACATGTAATGAATGACTCCAGCAGGGACAAAAAAGATTAAAGAATGTTCACAGTGATTATCTTATTCACCCTTAGGACAGCCTTTGTGGGAAAAACTGGAGCAATAAGAGATTTGCTTGAGGTCAAATAGCATTCCAAAACTGAAACCTGACCTTGGGGAAATAGCCTTTTAAACATAACCTAGAGAAAAATAAATAGACTTTCTAAAGAATTTTGATTCGGTGGGAATGGCAGGCTCACTGCTAAACCATTTAGTAATTAGTGAACTTAAGCTAGGCTTACACAGTGTGACCTAACAAGTGACCAAAGCCATATAAAAGCAGCATTTAATATTCCAAAAAGTACCCTGATCAACCAGGAGTTAATAGATTATTAAGTTGATCTGAAAACAGTATAGTCAGTGCCATAGTTAAGGAAGCATGTCAAAAGTTAAGCACTGTCTAAATTCAAGGTGTGATTATTTGACAACAAAATTGGTTTGAAAAAAAATGCTGCTAATGGCTGGTATATTTTATAACTTTGAAATACTGCTTAAAGATTATGCGACAAACTCTATCAGTTTTTCTATAATCTTTCATAAGATAATGCCTGGGTCAAAGAGGCACTCATTAATATATGAATAAATACATGAATGACTCAAAAGTACCTAAGTAGAATAATTCATTAGGGTAGACTGTTTCAAATTTTCAAAACCACTTGGTAAAATAATATCTGTAAATATTCTCTGAGACTTCAGAATTTCTTCATGCCAATCATTATGTCCATAGCTAAGAAGTCACATTTAGGTCCATCTTTTGGGGCCCCACCAAGGAAAAGACTCATGGCCCATGTTAGTTTATCCTCTCTGGTTGTTTTTAAAATAGTTTTTAATGATATAAGGTTTGAAATTATTCCTCTTCATTTTAATCACCCTCCACCACAGGAAGTAAATACATGGTATTAAAATACCCTTACCCATACTGATACTGGGAGCAGGAGAAAATGGAGTCCAACAATAAAAAATGGTAAGGTAAACATGGGACCAGCTGGGGTCCCCGGTGGTCTTTCATTAAGATAATCTATTCTGCCTGGGAGAACTTCCCATGGGGTGGTAGCCTGCAATTGATTTCCTTACATATTTTAAATACATATGCATACATGTAGCTATAGTTATACCCTATTATTTATGAACAACATTCTAGGAGCTAGATTCTGAGTATACAACCATGGGTAAATTATTTACTTTCCTCAACTATAAAATGAGGTAGCTGTATTAACAAGATTTGTAATTCCAACAATTAGGGATTCAGAAAAACAAGTCAGTTGCTAACATTTTAATAGGAACACATTTTCCCTCAAGTCACTTATTTCACAGATTACTTCTTTCAGGGCCAAATTTCCCTTCACAAAATCCTAAGGATGAGACTATTTCTAAAAATTAGCCATTTGAGTAAAGTCCAGATATTTCTTGGCATCCATCACACATTGTGATGTCAAGTAGATTCACTTGAAGGGGGGAACGTTCAAGGGCATTGCAAGTGGAAGAGAAGTAGCAACTTCATTGTCTTTGATTATAGGAAAATAGGTGTGTGCTGTGGATTTTATTTGAGTTATTTTTAATTCCATGGATATCTCCTGATTTCTTTTCCCAAAAATTTTGTTGGAATTTAACTTAACAGTCTGAATCAAGACACAAGAAATTAAGAATATTGGTTAGTTTACCTTCTATGCCAAGAACATTTTTCATCTTATTTTCTTCTGAAACTTCAAACTTCTTTATGATGTCAAGACAATAGTCTGTGGTCACATTATTCATCTATGCAAAAAAGAGCATTATTAGAGTACCCGCGGTTGCATGAGGTGTGTTCCTCTACACTAAAAAGGCACAGACTGAATTGCAAAGCTTTCTTGACATGGTGCAAAGAGCTTCAATGAGCAGAGTCTGAAGTTACTAAAATCACCGTTATCTCATCCTTGCAGAGTGGTCATGATCTCAATCTCCCTGTGCATCTTTCAAATTTAATCAGTGAAAACAGGCCTTAAACTATTAGATAAATGTTCTCCATGAAGCAATATAACAAAGCCAATAATCAATGGAAATCCATCACCAAAAATCCACTCACTATAAGCTAGCAGCTATCTGCAAAATTAATGTTTCCTTTACAAACACCAAAGTTTGCTGATGACAAACAAATGTCAAAACCTGGGTAACATAGCAAGACCCCATCTCTACAGAAAATAAAAAATTATGTTGTGCACCTGCAGTTCTAGCTACTCAGGAGGCTGATGCAGGAGGATCATTTGAGCCCAGGAGGCCAAGGCTATATTGAGCTATGGTCATGTGAGCCACTGCACTCCAGCCTGGGTGACAGAGCAAGACCCTTTCCCAATCAATCAATTAGTCAATCAACCAATAAAACAATTCCCTACCAAAAGAGAATGTTTCAAGTAAATCTACCCGTATGTGTATGAACCTATAGAATCTTCCACTGAAACACCAGAGTAATCTACCATATGAGTCAGGAACACAAAGGTTAGCAAGAGAAAAAAATTTAGGTGAGGCAACCAGTAGAGAACTCGAAAGCTAGACTGCTTGTGCTCAAGGCAGCTAGCTCATATTATTCATGGTATGACTTTGAATAAGTCGCTGACTTTCTCTGTGGCTACCTGATAGGGGAGTGATAAGGATTAAATGAATGAATACTTGTAAAAACATTGTAAGGCACTTGAAGGGCACTATGTGCTATTATTATTGAGTCAGTTTCAAGGTTGCTGCATGAACAATGCATAATGTCCCTGGGAAAAGTAAGCTCTTCAGGAATAATGTCTCTAATTAAATTGCAACATAAAGAATGTGACTTTTGATTAAAAAAATCTATTTAGTCTCACAATCTCATGTTGACATTTAAAAATACTAATGAATAATGATAGAGGAAGCTAATCTTGTGAGCTGCTATTTCATATTTTAATTATATTTTCTCAAAGATTCCATTACCTCTTAGGTTCAATACTTATGTTTTAGTGAAACTTAATTTTTCTAAACAGTCCATTTAAACAGAAGGGGGAAGAAAGCTCTGTAATATGATTGCTTTTTGCTAGTTTGAAAGAGCATATATGCTTTTTTTTTTTCAAGCTAGTTGCATAATGGCTGATGCATCCTTTCGGTAAATGTTACAATCTTTATTCTATTTGGAGGTCCATATTACCAGACACCACCTGCAAATACCGTAAATAAATGAAACTGCAATATCTCCAAGGACTTCTACCGACCTAGGAAGGCTTTGAGCAGCTCATTAATTTGTCTGCTGTGAGCTAGAGAGATTTAGCTCACGTAGGTTAAAAGAGAAATAAATTTCTCACAAAATGAAAAGAGCCAAATTGACAATAATTTTATATGCCATGTGAAGAGTGAGGTCACTTTGCAATTATTTGGTTTATAAGGCCATTTTTCAGATATTGGGGGCTTTAAACTGGACTCAGATAGACTCCCAGGAGCCCATGAGATCTAAAAACAAAAAAAAAAACAAAATAAAACAACTGCTCAACTGAGATGAAGCTAATTGCAGCTGAGCAGAGAATGTGTCACTAGTTCAAGATACAAAGTAGAATTTGATAACAAAGAAATATTTGAAACATGTCAATTAAATTAACAAAAATATTAGTAAGCATGCCACAAAGCTCACAAATTTATGGGTATCATAAAAGAATTCATGGGAAAAAATATAATCAATTGTCTACCCAAACTCAGGTATTAAGCAAGGATTGACTTTTTTTTTTTTTTTTGAGTTGGAGTCTCACTTTATCACCCAGACTGGAGGGCAGTGGCATGCTCCCGGCCACCACAGCCTCAACCTGCTGGGCTCAGGTGATCCTTCCACCTCAACCTTCCAAGTAGATAGAACTACAGGCACTCGCCACCATGCCCAGCTAATTTTTTGATTTATTATTGTAGAGATGAGGTCTCATCAAGTTGCCCAGGCTGGTCTTGAACCCATGGGCTCAGGCAAGTGCTGGGATTACAGGCATGAGCCACCACACCAGGCCAAGGATTGACTTTTAGTGAAGAATTTAAATTTGGTTTATTTTAATAACAACTCTTTACATTTATACAAAGTTGTCAGTGTTGTGCAGAAAAAGGCTTTTACACATATAATCATAAATGGTTTTTACAATAGTTTTGTAAACTTAGTATTTATATCCCCAATTCATATACAGAAAAACTGACGCCAAGAAAAGTTAAATATTGCCACCAAAGTAACAAACAGAACCAAGGTTCAAATTTGGACTTCCCTGACTTCAGGTCCAAAGCATTTTTATGTTATTTATACTTATTCTCTGGGTGTTTTTATTTCTACTGAAAACTTAAAATGCTTACTTTTTAAAAAAACTGATTGGTGGCTGGGCTCAGTGGCTCAGCCTGTAATCCCAGCACTTTGGGAGGCCGAGGAGAGTGGATTGCCTGAGCCCGCGGGTTCGTGACCCACCCAGGCAACTTGGCAAGACGTCATCTCTACAATAAATCAAAAATTAGCCGGGCATGTAGTGTGCGCCTGCAGTTCCAGTTACTTGGAAGGCTGAGGCGGAAGGATTGCCAGAGCCCAGCAGTTCGACCGTGAGCATGCCACTGCACTCCAGCCTGGGTGAGGGAGTGAGACTCCAACTCAAAAAAAAAAAAAAAAAAGAATTGGTTTTTCAGTGTAGCTGAAAGTCCTGAATCTTAACTTTTGATATTTTTACAATGTTCAAATTAATTACTGCAATGTTACAGCTTTCATTATTCCAGGTTGGACTCCACACTCTATTCCTTGTTTGCCATAGTTCTTTGATCCCATCTAGAAAAGACTCACTGGTACTCACATTAAAGGTCAATTCATTTGAGATGAACTGGTGGCAGAAATCAGTCATGGATCTATAAAATACCCACATTCTGACACTTCCTTTTTTCTCTCAGACTTCCTGCAAATTTTCTAGCAAAACTTTCTTCATGAGTACAAATTTCAAAACAACTATGATTCTTAAAAGCACCAAACACAAAATCAAAGAATAATTTGCAAATATGCATACACTCATATATATCTATATATAGTATACATGTATATCAAACATTGCTAAGCCGGGCATGGTGGCTCATGCCTATAATCCCAGCACTTTTGGAGGTGGAGGCAAGAGGACTCCCTGAGCCTAGGGTTTAAGACCAGCCTAGGCAACTTGGCGAGACCTCGTCTCTACAATAAATAAAAAAAAATTAGCCGAACTTGGTGGCACGTGCCTGTAGTTCCAGTTGCTTGGATGGCTGAGGTGGAAGGATCATCTGAGCCCAGCAGATTGAGCCTGTGGTGGCTGTGAATGTGTCTCTGTACTCCAGCCTAGGCGACAGAGTGAAACTCCAACACACACACACACACACACACACACACAATTGCTAAGCTCTTTTTTACTTTTATCAAAGTAACATATCCATAGCTAAACAAGTCAAAACTTACTGGGTTTACTAGATACTTATAACTAAAACCAGAAGTGTCCCCCTTCTATATCCTGAATAACTCCCCAAAGGCAATAACATCAATAATTCTAGCTCTCACTTTTGAAATGGGTATTTATATTCCTAATTACTATGTTTATGGGGCTATTTTCTTTTTTATATGCTTTAAGAATGAGCCACTGACTTCTCATTGTGTTAGATATTATGTTACACATAATAAGAAGCTCTTTGGGGTCAATAAATCTTTCTCCCTCTGTCTATCCTCTAAAGATAGTTAAACCATAACTTTTAAATTTTTTTTAAAGATGGGTACAATTCAAGGTTAAGAATACAAATGGTAGCCAGGCTTGGTAGCTCAGCCTGTAATCCCGCTCCTTCGGGAGGCTGAGGTGAGTGGATTGCCTGAGCCCGCGGGTTCGAGACCTGCCTGGGCAACGAGACCTCATCTCTACTATAAATCAAAAAATCAGCCAGGCATGGTAGCGCGTGTCTGTAGTTCCAGCTACTCGGAAGGCTGAGGCGGAAGGATTGCCAGAGCCCAGCAGATTGAGGCTGCGGTGGCTGGGAGCGGCCACTGCACTCCAGTCTGGGCGACTGAGTGAGACTCCAACTCAAAAAAAAAAAAAAAAAGAATATAAATGGTTATTGTACAGGTAAAGTTTGGGCCTCACTTTGGTCCCCACTTCAACTAGTTTGAGATTAGGTACCCTTATTGATGAAGTGTGACCCACCCCCCCGGCAGTTTCCCACTACAGTCAATCTCTTATGGTATTATGGTAATTGTTCAGGGTCTGCTTATGAGTGAGAACATGTGGTACTCAGGTCTTTGTTTCTATGACTGATTACTGAGTTTTATAGACTTTAAATCCATCCAAGTTGCTGCAAAGTTCATAATTTTGTCCTTCTTTGTGGCTGCATAATATTCCATCATGTATTTATACCACTTTTTAAAAATCCAGTCTACTTTCAATAGGCAGCAGAGTTGGTTCCATGTTTTTGCTACAGTGAATAATGCTGCAATAAACATGCATATGCAGGTATCTTTTTTATAGAGTGATTTGAGTTCCTCCAAGTAAAACCCCACTATAACCCTAGATAGATCACTGAGACAAAAAATCAACAAGGAGATTCAGAATCTCAACTTGACACATGACCAAATGGACTTAATTGATACTTACAGAACACTCCATCCAACAACCATGGAATAAACATTCTACTCAACAACACATGGAACATACTTCAAGACTGACCACATCCTTGGCCATAAATCAAACATAAACACATTTTATAAGATTAAAATACTGCCATGCCCCTTCTCATGCCACAGTGGAATA